ACGTGATGCACAAACTTTTTTCACAAACCAGGATCTTATTGGTTGAAATAATTTCCATACGGATTCCCCTAGTCAGCAGAAACAAATATATAACTGGCAATTATAAAGTTGCAAAAATCCATCGTGCTGGTAGCATACGACAGGCACTTTAAACAGCCTGACTGACTTTGTTGTCTAGACGCGGCACACTACTGAAAAAGTTGCTGAAAACTGTTGGACAGCCAACGACCAACTTTGCCTTTCTTCGGGCTCATTAGGTAGGCGCAGTCCCCGAAATTCCCTCAACAGTGCGTCCTACTTGAACCTTTTTTTTGAGATTTAGATGACTAATCTCACTTGCGCACGAATTTGGCTTTGACGGAAGACAAATTAATTATGGTAGCCCACTATAAATTCGTGTACAAATGAGCGTATTTGACTTTCATTTTGTTTGACTGAATTTTTCGACATTCATGTCGTAGCAGCTACTGCAAGAAACTAACACTAATGTTCCTTTAAATAAGAGTGCAAACATTAGGCATGAGTCGCCTGTAGGACACTACACAAATCGATGATGACGAACTTGTCAAGGTACGCCCAGACTGTCTGTCCATTTGTTGACAACCTTTGTAAGCTTTTAGAGCACAGTATGCGAATCAGAACGAGAGTACACACGCAACAGTCACACTCCACACTTGTGGAGTTGTTGAGAAATTGTGGTCACTTCGCATTGCGATACTAAACACCAGGCTGAGGCAAGACGACTGGTTGATATCGCAGTGTGAGAATGTTGAATCAGGACACGGTGTGTTTGTTTGACTTTGAGATGTCGTTAGTCCCGTGTCTGAAGTTAGGGATGGGTCTCACCAAGGAGAATGGGGAGCTGGGAACAGAGCCCGACGAACATATCTGCTGGCGTTTTGCCAACACACTGTAACTGCGGTGCCGAGCATAAAACCTGATTCAGAGTGGTCGGAATACAACTGATGAGATGCCACGTTTTACAAGGCGAGATTGAAAGTATGTCACAAAGAAATTACCTTTCTAGTATGCAGCGACCTAAGCGTGGAGAGAAGCATATAGGGTTATAATCTGTTCAGGTGTCGATAGGCAAAGTCACCCAACACAGTTTCAAACAGTCAGTCAGACTTAGAGGACAGGCGACCGCACAGAATGGAGTGGTTTCTGAAGCCTCCAAAACCCACGGTCGATTAGCCGAGGAACTTTGGTCTGTGGCGCAGGAGCATCCTCGCCTCTTTGTCTAAAATATGTTTCTGTTCTGCGAAAATTAGCTGACCGTTTGAGGCTTGGACACAACGTGACGAAAACGATTAATCGACATCCACCCTAAATCCACCAATTGACTTCAGGAGAGAGTTGAGACCATATCACAGTTCTATGGAAATCAGCAACTTCCTAGCCCGGTACATAAATTCCAATACATTTAAACCAAAGTAGTAATATTTCAAAGTGCTTTTCCATGGTTTATAAAGGCTTTAAGGGTGTGATCGGTCATCGGTCGATAAAGACAGCTTCACCACGCTTGATGTCGTTCTAGAATTGCCCACATAGCCAACTTATTTGTAAAGTGTTGACGCACAGAAAAAGCAGAGGTGGGCGACCAGACTGTCTGACCTTGAAATAGTCGTGCGTGCACCATCCGCAATACACAGCTTGTTGCATAACGCCAGTGCACTTTCGATGCCGACTCGCACTCGAAGCGCAAGGGTGAACATGGGTGCCGCGGCTGCCAAATGTTGTGCATTCTTATGTCCAAAGGAGAATGAAATTGGAACATTTTTTCACCTTGATCCCAGAAACACCTAAATCCAAGGGTAAGTGATGACGAATCGACATGTGATTCGTTCGTCACACCACCCCTATTGATGATTACACTTGAAACGTCAATCCTAGAAATGAGGTTTCTTGTTGGGGTGCAACGTTTGGATCGATTCGACAAAATAAATTTACACCTATGCATAGTAGTGTTTGCTCTAGCTTCCTTATCTCTGGTGGGATATGGAAATAGGTAGACTGTTTTTCGTCAAATTGTCACTTCAAGAAAAGGAAAGTTTGTCAGTTCTTTGAAAACCCTTGACTGAAGTAACGATTAGTCCTTCCGGTGAACGCTTTTATTCAAGTCAATTTAAATATGATCCTGTGTGACACTCTGTTCTCAGGTTTACACCGATTACGATTATCTAAGGCCTATATTTATCATCATCATCATCATCATCATCATCATCATCATCATCATCATCATCATCATCATCATCATCATCATCATCATCATCATCATCATCATCATCATCATCATCATCATCATCATCATCATCATCATCATCATCATCATCATCATCATCATCATCATCATCATCATCACTCTCAGCTGTAATAACCACGTACTTGTCGTACAGTGGTTGTAGCTGCCACAGTTTCATTCCCCGATGATTCTGAGAGGTGGGGTAGGTAGCTGCGCATTGGAGGCGAAGGTTGATAAATTAGTGCGTAACTACAGCACTGGACTGTTAGGTGGAGGGGGGGTTGTTAGAGTGCTATGTACTGAAGGCAATAGCTTGGATGCATGATCGCCATTGAGGATGTGACTGGGCCATGTCTGACAATGTCTCTAGCCATTGATATGGTCTGTCTCGGGGTCCCCATCCAGAAAGACGGCAATGACCAGCGCAGATGAGTTTGCTGGTAATGGCTTTTATACTTCGCTGCCAAGTCATGGTTTGGCCGCCTCTGGCTCTCTTCCATCCTTCACGTGGTTGTGCGGAAAGAGACCTTCGAGGAATTCGGTCGACTGGCATACGCAGCACGTGGCCAAGCCAGCGCAACCTATGCAGTGTGATCAGTTCATTTATCGAGGTTGAGTTACTTCTCCCGAATACCACTCGATCCGGTGTTCCCACGAGATTCGAACAATGCTGTGAAGATATCAATGGTCAAACACTGGAAGTATTTTGATGTCCTCGGCGTGCAGCGGCCAGGTTTCTGATCTGTATAGTAATATGGAGCGCACTGCAGCATTGTAAACCCGACGGATAAGCTGATACCACGCCTACGCCACAGGTGAGTAGATGGGAAATCTTCGTGTAATGGTGACGTAAATGGCTACCTGGATATTTTCAGTTTGCACGCCCATGTTTCGGTTCGTTTTCTCACACTGCGAAAATCAGCAGTCAACCAGAATTAGGTTCACATGTCTTGTTTCAACTTTTTTTCATTCGAATGGGGAAATGTTGCAGTCTATGCTTTGTTCGGGAGTCAGATGAAAGCATGTGGCGACAGTTGTGGGTAGTTGAACGAAAAACGGAATACGTCAGTAGATGGAACGCAAATTGCTTACTATAAAAATATTTGCCTGTTGTGACACTCCGACAAATGACAGAATGTTAACGGTGTTATTCTTTTTGGAGTGAAATTGATCCGAAAGATAACGCTCCTTGTCATGAAGTGCAAGCAAGGCGCTTCTTGAGGACTGTGTTTACAATAAGGACTTCAAGCAACCAATGAGCCCAATGCCGAAAGTTATCATTTGTTCATGTATGGCGCATATCACATCATCATTTAAAGAAAAACTCAACTTTTTCCGGGTCCCGCTCACAGTGTCACAAGCACAAAGATGATCAAACTGGGGAGGGTGTCACGATAGTGATTACGATAGTGGTTAGTGTCAGTGCGGATCGTCCTTCATAATGGCGTCAATGTGATCTCCTGTGTACGTGATTGCGGGTGCTGCAAGATATTTACTGTTAATTGATGTTGATGACTACCTGACTACCTACTGAGACTCCCAACTCCACAAAACGCCGATCGGACAGTTCTGGATCAAAGTCAGACAGTGCGAGGCAGCGTTGGATCAAGGTCAAGCAGTGTTCCCTCAGTATATAGCGCGATGCTGTTGTACCTTCGCGCTCACTTTTTTCCAATAAATCTGTTGTGTTCGGCATTAGGTGCCGGAGCGCGGACAGTAGTCAGATATAAATTGTTCAACTGAGTGTATGGAGACGTGGGCAATGCTGAATGACCGTGATGTCCTAGGACTAACTCATCCACTTTTTATTCGTTTCTTTACAACAAGACTCTCAAATAATTTGCAGATGTACGGCAATTATCCATGACTGCTGGACTCTGATATTGTGCTATCGACCATGATGATCACAGCTTGCTGAGCAGAGACTGCTCAGCGTCTATTGACTATGGTAGACGCACGAGCGGTTCTCTTCAGTTTCACAGACACGTGGGATTACCTGATAGTGTTAAATATCACGGCCAGCCACCACTGAATTGCATAGTCCCATTAAGGTAAATATCTAAGCTAACTGGTTTGCGTCACTGGGCAATGCTGAATGACTGTGATGTCCTAGGACTAACTCATCCACTTTTTATTCGTTTCTTTACAACAAGACTCTCAAATAATTTGCAGATGTACGGCAATTATCCATGACTGCTGGACTCTGATATTGTGCTATCGACCATGATGATCACAGCTTGCTGAGCAGAGACTGCTCAGCGTCTATTGACTATGGTAGACGCACGAGCGGTTCTCTTCAGTTTCACAGACACGTGGGATTACCTGATAGTGTTAAATATCACGGCCAGCCACCACTGAATTGCATAGTCCCATTAAGGTAAATATCTAAGCTAACTGGTTTGCGTCACACTTGGGAAAATATTGGTTATCCTGGCGAACCACCCCTCAGTACCTCCCTATCAGGCAATGAATGCAACACCTGTTGTAATCCATAGCTGAGGTGACATGACTCATTAGGTGACGTGAATTGAGCGTTCAATACCCTTCCTTAAGTTCATGCGAAAACACAATAGCCTAATGCTCAGAATGGATGGATTCAGAGGTATCAGGGCGCGCCCAGACAGAAGAAAAAGCACATGTGCAGAGAGTGACGCATCCTTAAGGTCACCATCGGTTCGACACGTCCGGAAATTAGGTGAGTTGGCGGCTCGCACCTAACACGGCCCAGCAACACACGACCAGCTTAGTGGGCCTGAGAATGTTCACGACCGGACCATCACCATTGGCTGTACGGAGCGAACAAGTGGACGACCATATTTGGCCAAGTAGTCATCCTATATATTTACGCAGACGCTCTGTACGTTTTGTCCTGGCAATATAGCCGTGTCCCCAGTTCTCTGTCTTCTCCCTATCGCGTAGTCTGGCAGGCTCAGTGCAGGCTTAACCAATAGCTCGGACACACCGTCCAATACAACAAGAGGTGCAATGGCTCACTGGCAAGCTGGTTTACAAGTCACCAACTTCACCGCAGTCCACTAGAAGTTTCCCACTTCAGTTCTGCTTCGCCCACGCCACCTGTCGCAAAAATACTGCACAGCATGCGTCTGTCGAACATGCCAGCTGTGTCGCGTGTTACTCGGTGAGCCGAGTAACATCGGATGTGCACCAGGAATCAGCTAAAATAAGGTAAGAAAGCCTACCAGCCTCGCTTGGTTATCGCACTTGTTTCAGCATCACCAGGAGAGTATGATTTCAGAAAAATAGATATATTCTGTTTATAGAAGTCCCGCCTCCATTCGACAATGCCAATAGCCTCAGTTAAACGAGTGTACCCGGCTAGTGGATGCGCGAGGTACAGTTTCACTTGCTCAGTCTGTATTGGAACAGCATCTGCTATCTAGTAGGTGGTGGGTGATAGATGGTGCGGATAACCACGGAGATGACTTTTAACTCATTCACGTTCAGGCATGCTTGTTCGATTCACAAACCTCATCACGAGCACCGTCGAAGTTACCTCTGCATTCTCTTCAGCTAAGTAGCCAAGTGCCCACTAAGAAGGCATGTGCTGGAAGGCATGTGCCGAAAAAGAGGTCGGTCAGTGCTCTATGCGCCAACGCAACCTCTGAATAGCTGGCTTGAAACTACATCTACTTTGGGGGCTGCTCTTGAGTATTGAGCGTAATTCTATCATGAATGATTGTGGATAGGCTTTTCAGCGAAATTTTTCATCCTGATAAGCTAGCACACGCTTCATGATGGCACAAGGGTAGATTCTCTCCCAGAATGCACAACATTTATGTCCTATTTGCACAAAACGTATGAAGTACACATACGAACATCCAACGGACGGTTCTGCGAACGACACCGTTTCCCAACATACGCATTTCTGTCTACAAATGGTATGCTGTCTTTCATTCCACGCTAGGTAATCAGATTTACATCAGAATGAACGTTTGTCGGAGGGTTCGAGAGATGTTGCGCATTTTTGTGAGCCTCGGTGACGAACAAGCTGCTGTTAACTTAAGGCAGTTGCTTCTAACTCCTTAATCGCCACGAGAATATCCGCTAAAAGTGATCGCAGCAGAGCTCCGTCAGTCTATCTATTGAATGGGCTTTGAGATGTAAAGTCCAGCCTCGGTGCAAATGCGTTTCCCGTTTGACCAATCCACGCGAACAAAACCAGTGGGCCGGACGGGGTGCCCTGTTAAGGTTGAAGTATTGTGACTCAGGAATCTCCGTTCCCGTTTTTCAGTCGTGTCTAGAAGGCATCCTATATTACTGACCTGGAGTAATCCCAGTAAGCGAAGCCTTTCAGCCCTGTGGTCCACTAGAATTCTGTCCAGTTTCATGCTATTTCGTCTCGTTAAAAATGCTAAAACACGGTGTATAGCTGATAAATTGCTAGAACGACTACTGCTTGACATTATAAAACCTTCATTGATCGCCTCGGATCACATGTATCAATTTGTGTACAGGTTGTCCAGATCTGGCATGCTTGCAGTAGTCTTTCTACAGGACAATTTTCTGAGGACCCAAAAGCGTCCGGGTCTGCTTCATCGACCCCAATGGTGCCCTTGATTCGAGTGACCGAATACCGCCGATTGATTAACTTTCCAGGACAGATGACTACTTCGTCTGCCGAAAGCAGTACATCCCGACTGAGGAAAAGTCGTCAAAGATTCCCATGAACGAATTTGCCATACCTCAAGGGCTTGTTTTTTCACTGCTTCTGTTCACTTCCCACACAATCACTTTCAAGCTTGACAAAAACCCTGGTAAAATATGTGGACGGTAATGAGGCTCGCAGAGTCTGGTCTACACTGTTGGATACCTACTGGTTCGAACGGGACCTTGAAGGCTCAGGCTGGTGGATATAAGATATTGCGCTACAGCTAAACATATCCTGTTGCCTCGAGATTGGGTTCACACTGATGCGATCTCTTGAGTCCACTTTATCTCGCTATGACTGACCGCTGTTTCAAGCTACCTATCTGAAATATATCTGTACATATGTGTATCCGCACAAAAAAGTGTACAAAAGATCTCTGGGTTGACGTTACATATGCATGAAAACCTTCGAAGTGACGACTTTCTTGAATATTGAATATTGCCAATTCGGCTTTATCCGAAATCCTACACTTTCGACCAGCTTTTCGGTCATTTCTTCATCCATCGTTATAAGCAGACTGTACGAAAGTGCGTACCATCATCAAGTGGCAAATTAGGCTCGCATCTTCTTCCGGCAACATTCTCGTTAATTTCCTGACTGGAAGCTCAATTCAGAGGGATGCGAATGCCTACACAAACCTCTTGTGTTTGATTGCTGTCCCCGCTCCACTGCCTATTGCCGAAAAAGGATTGGTCGACAAGAATCACAACAGTTTTATTGAGAACAAGCGAGTGAGTGACCTAGATCCAAAGCTGTCTGATGGGCGTTTAGTAGAGTCTGAGGGTCTCAGTAGGTCTCCGGTATTCTAGAATAATCTTCAGGAATCTGAACTTCCTGACAAAGTCCTTTCAAGAAAATACTTGGCGAGCTTTCTCATCCGTTGCATTAGGGTATGATCAACTACCTCCGGCATGGCCCATTGACCAACACCGGCCTGCACCTAAACACGAAAGCGTCAGGATGTACAAACTTTTGGCCTCCTTATCCCGCCTGCCTGATGGCTTCAGAGACGAGCTTTTAGGGTCATTGTGTTGAACAAATGAAATCCAGTCTCATGTAAGGATAATATGGTGAAAACAAAGTAATATCTCTGGTGGAACGCATAGTCTCAATGCTCATATTCGGATTCTTAAGGTCAGCTGGAAATTAAGGTATTTTTTAGCGATAAACGACGAACCACCGCGCCAATTTGTGCTACGTCGAATTCACCATAGACAGGATGTCTTCAAGGCTTATCCGACCGATGCAGCTTTGGGAGTCCATAAAGCAGATCCATGTGCTTCAAAGATCTTACGGGGGTTGGATTTGTCAGTGAAACTGTTTTCGTACTATTTTCTATGCCAGATTTGTAGGAATATCGGTCGAACTTCAGAAGATTCCAACTTTCCGATATATCCATTCCTGTTCGATAAGACAACGCCTGATTTTCTTTCATGTAGGAGTATAACGAACTCTTGAAGGCGAGATAGCTCAAGTGGTTAGATCGCGAATTTAACTCTTGAAAGATAGCTCAAGTGGTTAGATCGCGAATTTACTGACCGGAAGTTCCGTAGTTCGAACTTGACCTCCACCTCTCGACTTCCTTCCCCTAAGCTTGGGCAACCTGGCAGTATCCAAGCCCTCGCGCTTCCTTCGGGTGGCTTGGTAGTTAGGAACCGAGTGTTACAGCTGAGCGATCTGTCGTTAACGGATTTTTTTTCCTTTATTAATTTTCATGCTGACTGTGTGAGATATGCTGTGAGCAGAGAACGCCGATATGACGGCTAACATCTCTTTCGAAGTTCAATATCGATCTCTCAAGACAGACTGCATTCGGATGTTAGAAAATCGGTGACTGCTTGGTCTCGGGTGTCTGAATTTTGCACCTGAACGCCATACGACTGAACACTTCTACATTGCCACGATAAGTTCTACAAGCGGTCGTTCAGCTGTAGCAGCTGAACGCCATACGACCCGAAGGAAGAGCGAGGGCTGAGGTAATAGCAGGTTGCCCAAGCCTAGACAGGAGCAGTCAAGAGAGTGAGGTTAGGTTCGAACCATGGTGTACGGAGGCCAACCGAAGGCAGGCTCTGATTGGTCAGAATGCCAGCCAATCCGGATCGAGCATCTTTGACTCGATGCTTCTCACCCCATCACGGTGACACCAGCACAACCTTGTGGAACACTGTGATTACCCTATGAATGCAGATGTACTGATTCTCCTTTTGTCTCCATAAAAAGCTGTGTACAGCTACCGTGCCTTTTGATATACATACCATAGTGGGCGGAGAAGGAAGCCAAGGGACCGATACAGAGTTGATTTACCGTCCATCAAGACACAACACACGGACCTTCCCGTAAGTTGGGACGTCATCGACTGAGTTATCTCAATGAGTGACTTGCTTCACGGATATCACTGGTAATACTCATTGTCGTTAATAGAGGACTTCCTCTCCGACTGCTGTTTCGAGCACGTTACGAATGAGGACTAGCTATTGGACAGTGGATTAATTGCCACCCCCCCCCACCAAGCGATGTTAACGCTATAAAGGTTGCAAGGTTGAGTGCCACTGACTCATTGTTTTCGCCACTATCTCCCATTCTCTGCGCAGCTGCTTATCAGGTTACTGAGCACAGAGTCACGTAAGAACTCCTATCAACTTACACAGGCGTAAAGTGTTCGTGTATACACAAACTAACCATCAGGGAAAAACACGCACAATCAACTTTGATGATGCGTCACCCAAATAGTTGACGTCCTAACAAGCAGGTCATCTGGTCAGTATTCAGACTGCCTATTGACTATATGCAAAATCCACCTGTCGCCTCAATTTTAAAACTGACGGTATTTCATTCAGCGGACGCTGTGTTGTGTGGAAGGAGGAGTGGTTGAAGCTCGAATGCCAGACAGCTGCCGACTGGATGGCATTGTTCTAATCTTTGAGGGTTAACATGGATCGCGAGCACCGATGAATAAACTGACCGGCATCAGACGATTCTTCCACACGCGCCTTGCACTCATAAGTAAAGCGTTCAGCTGTAGCACTCTTTCGGTACTTAGCTGCCATGCCACCCGAAAGTTGCACGAGGGCTGGGATACTGCCAGGTTGCCCAAGCCTAAACAGTGGAAATCGAGAAGCAGAGGCCGGACCTTCCGGTAAGTAAATTCGCGCTCTTACCACTTGGACCATCTCGCCCCCCATTACTCGCGCACCCATAACACCCTTTCGAATGTGAACTCGCTGATCACGACTTTCCGTATTTCAAATGCTTTACACACCTCGGCAAATGCAACAGCCTTGACGGAAGCGTGGTTGACGAAGTCGGAGCACGGCTTTCAAATGTCTGAAACATGTTTGTCAAATCGCGTCCGCCGTTGCTTCAAACCAACTTATTGTTGGAACTCATGAGTCGTACGTGCGGACCGTGTATGAGTATTGCACTACGAACATATATGTATCGCGACATCTCGAATAACGTAGCAACTAAAACATGAGGCGGCCTGGTGCAGCGCATTCAGTTGCCTGGAAACATCGCATACGTGAGATTCAGCTGGGTTCCAGGTGAGTCTCGCGCAAAACAAATTCCGCCTCCTTTTCGTTCAGCTGTAACACCCTCCCGGTGCCTAGCTGTAATGCAACACGAAGGAGGCACGAAGGCTGGGATACTGCCAGGTTGCCCAAGCTGGAAATTAAGGTATTTTTTAGCGATAAACGACGAACCACCGCGCCAATTTGTGCTACGTCGAATTCACCATAGACAGGATGTCTTCAAGGCTTATCCGACCGATGCAGCTTTGGGAGTCCATAAAGCAGATCCATGTGCTTCAAAGATCTTACGGGGGTTGGATTTGTCAGTGAAACTGTTTTCGTACTATTTTCTATGCCAGATTTGTAGGAATATCGGTCGAACTTCAGAAGATTCCAACTTTCCGATATATCCATTCCTGTTCGACAAGACAACGCCTGATTTTCTTTCATGTAGCAGTATAACGAACTCTTGAAGGCGAGATAGCTCAAGTGGTTAGATCGCGAATTTACTGACCGGAAGTTCCGTAGTTCGAACTTGACCTCCACCTCTCGACTTCCCCTGTCTAAGCTTGGGCAACCTGGCAGTATCCAAGCCCTCGCGCTTCCTTCGGGTGGCTTGGTAGTTAGGAACCGAGTGTTACAGCTGAGCGATCTGTCGTTAACGGATTTTTTTTCCTTTATTAATTTTCATGCTGACTGTGTGAGATATGCTGTGAGCAGAGAACGCCGATATGACGGCTAACATCTCTTTCGAAGTTCAATATCGATCTCTCAAGACAGACTGCATTCGGATGTTAGAAAATCGGTGACTGCTTGGTCTCGGGTGTCTGAATTTTGCACCTGAACGCCATACGACTGAACACTTCTACATTGCCACGATAAGTTCTACAAGCGGTCGTTCAGCTGTAGCAGCTGAACGCCATACGACCCGAAGGAAGAGCGAGGGCTGAGGTAATAGCAGGTTGCCCAAGCCTAGACAGGAGCAGTCAAGAGAGTGAGGTTAGGTTCGAACCATGGTGTACGGAGGCCAACCGAAGGCAGGCTCTGATTGGTCAGAATGCCAGCCAATCCGGATCGAGCATCTTTGACTCGATGCTTCTCACCCCATCGAGCGAGGGCGTGATAGCAGGTTGCCCAAGCCTAGACAGGAGCAGTCAAGAGAGTGAGGTTAGGTTCGAACCATGGTGTACGGAGGCCAACCGAAGGCAGGCTCTGATTGGTCAGAATGCCAGCCAATCCGGATCGAGCATCTTTGACTCGATGCTTCTCACCCCATCACGGTGACACCAGCACAACCTTGTGGAACACTGTGATTACCCTATGAATGCAGATGTACTGATTCTCCTTTTGTCTCCATAAAAAGCTGTGTACAGCTACCGTGCCTTTTGATATACATACCATAGTGGGCGGAGAAGGAAGCCAAGGGACCGATACAGAGTTGATTTACCGTCCATCAAGACACAACACACGGACCTTCCCGTAAGTTGGGACGTCATCGACTGAGTTATCTCAATGAGTGACTTGCTTCACGGATATCACTGGTAATACTCATTGTCGTTAATAGAGGACTTCCTCTCCGACTGCTGTTTCGAGCACGTTACGAATGAGGACTAGCTATTGGACAGTGGATTAATTGCCACCCCCCCCCACCAAGCGATGTTAACGCTATAAAGGTTGCAAGGTTGAGTGCCACTGACTCATTGTTTTCGCCACTATCTCCCATTCTCTGCGCAGCTGCTTATCAGGTTACTGAGCACAGAGTCACGTAAGAACTCCTATCAACTTACACAGGCGTAAAGTGTTCGTGTATACACAAACTAACCATCAGGGAAAAACACGCACAATCAACTTTGATGATGCGTCACCCAAATAGTTGACGTCCTAACAAGCAGGTCATCTGGTCAGTATTCAGACTGCCTATTGACTATATGCAAAATCCACCTGTCGCCTCAATTTTAAAACTGACGGTATTTCATTCAGCGGACGCTGTGTTGTGTGGAAGGAGGAGTGGTTGAAGCTCGAATGCCAGACAGCTGCCGACTGGATGGCATTGTTCTAATCTTTGAGGGTTAACATGGATCGCGAGCACCGATGAATAAACTGACCGGCATCAGACGATTCTTCCACACGCGCCTTGCACTCATAAGTAAAGCGTTCAGCTGTAGCACTCTTTCGGTACTTAGCTGCCATGCCACCCGAAAGTTGCACGAGGGCTGGGATACTGCCAGGTTGCCCAAGCCTAAACAGTGGAAATCGAGAAGCAGAGGCCGGACCTTCCGGTAAGTAAATTCGCGCTCTTACCACTTGGACCATCTCGCCCCCCATTACTCGCGCACCCATAACACCCTTTCGAATGTGAACTCGCTGATCACGACTTTCCGTATTTCAAATGCTTTACACACCTCGGCAAATGCAACAGCCTTGACGGAAGCGTGGTTGACGAAGTCGGAGCACGGCTTTCAAATGTCTGAAACATGTTTGTCAAATCGCGTCCGCCGTTGCTTCAAACCAACTTATTGTTGGAACTCATGAGTCGTACGTGCGGACCGTGTATGAGTATTGCACTACGAACATATATGTATCGCGACATCTCGAATAACGTAGCAACTAAAACATGAGGCGGCCTGGTGCAGCGCATTCAGTTGCCTGGAAACATCGCATACGTGAGATTCAGCTGGGTTCCAGGTGAGTCTCGCGCAAAACAAATTCCGCCTCCTTTTCGTTCAGCTGTAACACCCTCCCGGTGCCTAGCTGTAATGCAACACGAAGGAGGCACGAAGGCTGGGATACTGCCAGGTTGCCCAAGCATAGACAGGGGAATTTGAGAGGCAGAGGTCGGATTGAACCACGGACCCTCCGGTCAGGAAAGTAAAGCTCTAACCACTTTTAATGGTCGATTGATCGTTTGCAGCAGGTGGTTTTTGTTATTCGCGAGTAACATGAACTAATCTGCACTGACCCGTCATTATCGCTTGGTTTTTATCCGAAGTTTGTTGTCGGTTCAAACAGTTTCACTCAGACTACTTCCATTCCGTTCGGTCGTTCATGAACCATCCGGTTGGTTTGTTATGATCGATTGTCTGACTGCTAGGCAGCTACGCTTGGTTTGGTGAGACTGGCCAAATTGAAATTGGTCGTTCTATCCTGTGCCATTTTCAAACGTTTTACGCGCACTACGTATTGATTATTTATATCGTCATTGGTGGATTAATCAATATCTCTTTGTCAGTGACTGCAAGATTGTCAAAACAGCACAACACAACGGTGGCACATTAACCGACAAACACGCTCCGGAAAGCCCTGGAAGGAAACTATCCACCAAGCTGCACAAACATCAAGGTGTCGTTAGGCGAATGAGCAATTCTTACTCGTTTCCGAAGACCAGAAAGTACAGGGATTTAACGAGGACAAGGTCCATATACTATCCGACCTAATAATCAAGAAAGAACGTGAGTTTATGGAGCTTTGGTACAGATATGAGAAGGCCATCAACAAGAAGATTGAGACCAACTGAATCCATCAACCACATAAGAAGTAAGAACTGCAAAGCACTCAAGCTTAAAAGCGGACAAGAAACCACAAAAAGGATACAAAACGCGGCATACAAATCAAAACCACTAGAACGCATACATAAGCCGCAGAAAAGTCCAAAAAATGACAAGTAGAGATTCCGTCAAACAAGAGCGACAGTGAAACGGAAACATCAAACGAACCATCAACCCGAAGAAAACTGCTGAAAATAGAAGGTACCTAGTTGACCAATCAAATGGCACGAAGATTGGTTAGAAACTAGCGCACAAGAAAAGCAAGATAGGCCAATCGGAATGGAAGAATTAAAATGGAGCCATTTAATGGACCAATCAGACGCAAGATAACAGGCCACAAAGCAACCGAAATCCTGAAAGGATGAATCAAATTGAGTGCTAGGTAATGCTTGAACAACCAATCGTGTTGCACACACTATCTATGCATTAGAAACTACATAAACGAAAGCGGGAGTGCAGGGATCAGCCAACCAACCACGCACTGACGATGTCTTCGCGCAGAGCGACGAAACATTACGAAGCTCGGCGATCAGGTGAACCGCCCATCAATATAAGTTTGCTCTCTTGGCGTTCCCGGTTCTGTTTTCAAGCGTCATTTTCACTGAACACTTCAGTCAAATATAATTCGCCGAGAATCTGTTCGGTTTTGTATGGAATGCGAAACATTTCAATATTTGGACCACCAATGGATGTGTTCACTTAGGTTAACCGATACCATATTAGCATTTTCTTTCAACGGAAATCCATATGCGCTTTCGTGGGTTGCAGCGGAGATTCGGTCTCGGAGATTTCGGTCTCTAGATTATCGCGCGCTGTTCGACGTGAGACCTTTGGCAACTGGACGTCAGTGGCAACAAACCTACGGAAACATTGGTGTTTCAAGAACACATATCTCAAAGGGGTTAGGAATGAATCGATCGAAGACAAATGGACCAATCAAAGATGAGCTGTCATTCAAGACAACTCATCCATTATATCCGGTAGAAGTTCAAAAGCTCAAGAAATGGCCAAGGCATGGATTTCCCTCGTGACTGAAGTTAAAGGAAAATCTTTTCATATAAATATACTTTTACGAGTCTCATGGTGGTCCACACCATAGTGCACAAAGCCCTTTGAAAGTGTTTCGTGGACTCGAGAGGGAATTTTCTGCCCCCATTAGGAGTTTTCGCGACGTAACCAGTGGACTTTGTCGTGGCAAGTCGGTCGGAGATGAAAGAGATCCTCATACGAAAGTCAGTCACCCAACGTTGAGAATCGATCCATATCGCGATCTGATATTTACTCGATCGAAGACGTCTTCAAGTTCGACATTCAATGTCCACCGATCCAGTAGGCGCACCATTGTTTCGGGGCAAGGATCTGAGCTCCACTGTTGTTGAATCAGAAAAAGTTCACTGGCCAAAATTCGTCTGTCATTGAGCAATTTAGCTTCGCTGGCCTTCAGATGACGGAGCTGAAACGAAGCAACAAGGTGATCTGAACACGGATAGATGACCGATTAATTATACCGATACTCTGATGAGACTGGCCGAGGTCTGTTCGAATGATAAGGGAAGGACAATGAACAAGCCAAGATTCAATCAATTTACCCGAGCAACCAATATTTCGCAGAGGACATGCTGGGTGCTCCAGATAGGATGCAGTGACAAACTTTTGATGAATGAGTCAACACATCCCCGAACGATGGTGACAGATCGCACTCAGCACTAATATGATCCAGCTATACCTCAGATTCCAACAGCACAAACATCTAATCGTTCAGCTGTAGCACCCTTTCAATGCCTAGCTGCCATGCCACCCGAAGGAAGCACGAGGGTTGGAATACTGTCAGGTTGCCCAAACCTAGGCAGGGGTAGTCGAGAGGCAGAGGTCGGGTTCGAACCACATACCTTCCGGTCAGTAAATTCGCGCTTTAACCACTTGGGTCATCCTAGAATAGATTCAAGTTAGATTCAAGTAGGACATAAGGTTGACGAAAACCCGGGGACTGAGCCTACCTGATGAGCCACAAGAAGAGCGAAAACAGTCTTGGGCTGTCGAACACCTTGTGAGTGGTTTCCGTTCTGGAAGTTGGATTCACATACGATAAGGAAAATGTCATGTCACCATGCCAGCAACACACTAATCTAAATATCATCACCTCCTTACTAAACTTGAGACAGCTCAGCGGTTAAAACGTGAAACTACTGAGATCAAGACGACAACTAATAAATGACTACTGTTGGATGGTTCACACAAACCCTAGATGGAAATGAGACGATCGGATGAAGCTTGCCAACCAGACACTCTGAAGTCCACGTTAACAGAATAACAAGTCACACCATTCTAAATCCAACATTACTTATTCTTATAGCTGAGCTTCATTCACAATTTGGCGATTACCCAACGGGGGCGAGATGGCTCAAGTGGTTAGAGCGTGATTCGAACCCGACCTCTGCCTCTCGACTTCCCTTGTCTAGGCTTGGGCAACCTGGCAGCATCCCTTTTGTCGTGCTTCCTTCGGGTGGCATGGCAGCTAGGCACCGAAAGGGCGCTACAGCTGAACGTTTTTTTTACCCAACGTTCAGTGGGTACACTTCATATCTCGAGGAAAGTGCTCCGATCACTAATAAAAACGAAGTGGAACGGGAATAGAAATTCCTCGAGGTTGAATATCAGGTCGCGAAAGCTGCACTTCCTGTTGGGGGTTCCGGGTCACTCGTGGCACACCTCATACAAAAACGTATACCCGTTGGTTGTTTTGATGAAGTTGCTTGAGGGAATGCTAACCACTGCTTTGAAGTAATGCAATGACGACCTTCAAACATGACGCAGACAATATGATGGTCTGATACCTATGCAGTTGCCAGGCGGAGGTGTATTGGAACCAGGCTAGAAACCGACATCTGGAAGGCTCATCACCCACTTATCTACAAGATACTCACATCTTAATGGACATTACTAACTGCGCGCATGTAGCTGCATATATGTAGAACAGAGTGAGAAGTTTGTAAAGTCAACATTAACTGGTCATCGTACTCTAACTAATACCGACAAAATTAGACTGTTTCCGCATGCCATCAGAATTACCTCTTGGTTGTTCTCTGTAAGCTGAAGCTCCAATTCAGTAATGCGCTCCTGAAACTGTTGTATCTGCAAAAGCTGTCTCGCCATCTCTTGTTCAAGTCGTGTCTTTGACTGCATAATTCTCTTGCATTTTTTATGAAACTTCCAAGCAGTTGCTTGTTGGGCCGTCAGGCGTTTTGTGTCAACATCGAACTGCTGCATGCGAAAAATGGAAAAGAATGAAAACAAATTGAGGATATGATAATGAAGACGGGGCTCCCAGAAAGAAAGTACTTCAACTGCCACTCAAGTACAGTGTATTTAGCATTCGCAATCTTGTGGAATGTATGTAGCTCGGGTGCGCTGCTTGGTTTCTGGTCTGTTCGCCAAGCTTGGCAGTTCGATTGCAAACATTTCATCACCAATCAAGGTGACATCGTCAGTGCAGGTTTGAGTGGGTGAATTCCTCTTCTGCCTGTGATCAGATAGCTTCTAAACAGTAGCTGGTGGCTCTGAAAGCGGGCTTTGCGTAGTTTGATTGGTTTCCTGTGAATCTGACGTGGTCTTAATCTCCTGTGTCTGGTTGGTTCGTTGGGCGTATTCAATTCGGCAGTTCTGTGTGTGGTTGTTCTGTTGTGATTCGGCCGTTTTCTCCTTGCTTTGTGGTGTGAGTTTGTTCCATTGATTGGCTGATTCAGCGGCCTTCTGTTTTTAGTGATTGTCTTCCTTTGACCCAATTAGTCCGTTGGTTGTCGTTAGGTTTTTTAGCTCAGAGTCCCGTGACGGTGCGGTTCTTTCGCTTGTAACGGCTGATAGACTGGGTCAATGTCGATGTGTTTATTGATCGATTTTTGTGTGGAGTACCATGTCTCGGCAAACTCTCACTCCCGCTTTGTTTTTGCGTGAACTGCCGAATTGAATGCGCCCAACGAACCAACCACACAGGAGATTAAGACCACGACAGATTCACAGGAAACCAATCAAACTACGCGAAGACCGTTTCCAGAACTACCAGGTACTGTTTAGATGTTATCAAATCACAGGCAGAAGAGGAGAAATTCACCCACTTAACCTTGCACTGGCAATGTCACCTCGATTGGTGATGAAACGTTCGCAATCCAACTGCCAAGCTCGGCGAATAAAATACGATGTCAGCTGACCGACCTTCAATACATAGGACACTGGGTGCGCAGGACGCAGCAAATTTTGCCTAAGATATCATTTTCAATGTGTTATATATATATATATATCCGTCTTTAATATGGTCTCACAAGCCTCGAAGATAAGTTGGGTTGCAACAGTTTAGTAAGTTAGTTGGTATTTTAGAACCACCAGCCCACAAGTTTCTTCGAATTGAATGCGCCCAACGAACCAACCACACAGGAGATTAAGACCACGACAGATTCACAGGAAACCAATCAAACTACGCGAAGACCGTTTCCAGAACTACCAGATACTGTTTAGAAGCCATATAATCACAGACAGAAGAGGAGGAATTCACCCTGACGATGTCACCTCGATTGGTGATTGAAACGTTTCAACCGAACTACGAAGCTCGGCGAACAGATTAACCAAGGAGTTAGCATTCCCAGTACCTTTTCGGAACCGTTACAAGTGAGTAGGTTGGTGACATGAAGCGATCTGAAGATATCCAATGGCGTTCGGAACGGTTAATTATTTAAACTACTAGGTCACTGGTTGGAGACTCTCTGCCAGGATTTCGTGAAATGAGTACGGCTGATGATTCCCAATAAGAATGAAACAGCTGTAAAATGTTCGTCGGCTTTTCAGCATAGATTGGCTTCACTTTCAGGACGAAATCTCCACTAAAGTGTAAAGTTCCCGACCCCTGTTTAGAGCACATCTCGTTTATCAGCATCAGTAAATTTTTTGAGGAATTTATAACGGACGACCATTTATTTGTAGCGTCCTTTTGCTCCTTAGATGCCGTGGAACTCGGAAGCTGCAAGGTCGTTCATGTCATACAGAACACCAAAGTACCACAATGAAGCATACTCAAAGTGTCCTGAATGTGTTCAATGAAATCACTGTGTTTTTGGGGACGGAAAACAGGAAAGCCCGTCAACATCAGGTCACGTATCATGGACTGTGTGGTTGAAAAACAAGTGAGTCTATACTCTTGAAAAGTTCGACTCCATCTCACTGGTGATCAGCTACTCGCAGTCGACTCGTACTGTTTCGGTTCCCACTCCGTGGGTTACAGGTTCAAGTCTTTCTAACAAATGCTGAATTATTCCCAAAACAAGGACAAAGGAGCTACACAACGCTTCTCTGTTCCCAACATAGTTTGGGCTTCACCTGTGTGTGGCGGCGGGGGGGGGGATGAAATCTATCCCTTCACTTCTTGTACAAACACATGGAGGAGTCGGTAACGCACTTCGACAGGCAGCATCACAACAGCTAGAACTAACCTGAACTCCAAAGGAATACACCTCCTTCAACTGCTCCATTGACTTTCGATACTGCTCCATCAAGGAAGTCGTTTCGCACAACCTTCGTTCGTATTTGGTTTTCGTTTCATTCAGCTGGTTGACTAGCCTTTTTTCATTGACCATGGCAGCTGACTCAATTTTTTTCACTTCCAGTGAATGTTTCACGGCAAGCTGGTTCAGCTCCTGGCGTGTGGTCGCTGCCTGAAACAGAAATGTTAATCTATGAGACACAGTTCTTCGTTTTGTCGCAGCTACAACCTCTGTGAAAATAAGTTACCCCTTGCTACTCACAGTCTAGTGTGTAAACGCTCGGAGAGAGTCTGATCCCAGAGGTGCTCTTCACCATTCTGTTCTCTCACTGAAGAGCTCACTAGTCTACAAGTTAAAGAGATACTGATGCTGTCGACTACAAAGGGGGCATCAGACAGAACTACAGTCAGTCAGGAAGGTGATATTGATTGAGTGAGAAACCCCTAGTTTCATTCGGTTGCAACTTGGTTCCAGACACCTGTCTTAACCGTGGATTGCTTGAATATCCAGTTGATTGTAGACATTTTCACACGAGATAGTTCATCAAAGTTCCAATGCAGCATTCTGACAGAGTAAAACTAATCGTGTAGTCAAAATATTGCATAACTGTTATCAGTAGGAAGTGAATCGTGTGTACCAAATGGTTCGTTGTAAGAAGACCATTTTTAACCACATTCGCGTTCCACCGACTAAGGTACTCGCTGAATTTACAGTTGGAAAACGCAACAGTGGTTTCCTTTCACCAACTGTGTACAGTCTGCTTTTCAGGTAGGAAACAAGGTTGACGAAAACTCGGAAACTGCACCTAATGGATGAGCCCCAAGAGCGCTGAAACCGGTGGTGGACTGTCAGAGTTTTCAGAACATCGGTTCATTGACTGAATCCGGGAATGCCGGGAAAACTACACAGCATCTCTGACTGAATTCACAGAAGTCCTTATGACTAATTTCTCGTAAGAGACTTAAATTTAATGACCTGGAAAGATACTATAGGCTGATGAAATCAGCCCTTATTTCACTCCACCTGCAGTAAAATAGCGTTTGCTCATTTTATGGCAGTTTTCGGATGAATTGCCTCTACTGATATTTCGGATCGCTGCAGCACAAGTGGGGAGATCTGAAGACGTTCAATCATTTAGTCCGCCGCCATGCGTCTAGATGTGATGCAGACCAGCTTATCGAAATCAACATTGACATGTTGAAGTACGATCTGACTCCTTATTTCAGTCAACACTGAAAGCCAGAATATCGTAATGTTGGAAGCATTTGTTCCACTGAATTCACAGAGGAACCAAAGACGTAACTAGTTTCTGGTCTGTTTCTACCAGATGCTGCCCGAAATCAAACAGCAACCCCAACATTCTTGAGATCCAATCTTCACCCAAGAAGGGACTCTAACCACAGCCTCAAATTCAAACTTTCTGACGGTTGGGGATCCCTTCTCCATGAAGATCCTCAGAACATCACGCGGTCAGCAGCGGCTAATACCTCCTAAGATGCTAACCAAAACAGACAGAAAACAAAACCAGAATAAACTGGCGTTCGAACATTGATGAAAAGATCCGCACTAACTTCTTTCACTGCCTCCGCCGCTTTGGATGCGAGACGATGCCGTTCTTCATCAACTGCAATGAGTTCACAATCTAGTTGTGCTTCTCTATTCTTCGCATGCTTGTACAGTTCATCCACATGTTCAAGACTTTTCGAATGTGTCATCTGAAGATCCAGTAAACGCTTGCGCAAACATTCCAGCTCAACCAGCGCGTCATTTCTATGGAAGGGGGCAAGGTTGGTGAGATTGAAAAAGAAACAGAAAAAGTTCAGGGAAATGCGTCTTCATGAAACTACACCGTGTGGACAGGTAGATTAGCATTCTCGAAAGTTGGTGTCTTTATATTATAGAGGTTGCGGTAATAAGGTCTAGTTAAATGAAAGATAAGGACAATCGTTCAGCTGCAACAACCTTTCGGTGCCCAGTTGCCATGCCACCAGAGGGAAGCAAAAGGGTTGGGATACTACCAGGTTGCCTAAGTCTAGACAGAAGAATTCGAGAGGCAGAGGTCGGGTTCGAACCACGAACCCTCTGCGCTCTAGCCACTGAGCCATCTTGCTCCTAGTTCAAACATTGCTGTTCCCAGGTGAATCAATACTATTCTGTGAACATCCTATTGACTTTGAATGGGCATCATTGGTTCTGTAACCGAGTACGGAAATCCAATTTATCAGTAGTACCATCAGTATACTGGTTCCAACTGTTAAAGTTTTGATCACTGCAAATTGGGCGGGCATGGGAGATACAGTGAAGCACTGGAGGAAAGGAAAGTTCGCATACAGTGCCCTCATAAGGGACACAAGTTTGAGATGGACACCTTGATTCACTGGACACTGCCAAAGTTTCTGACGATCGACAGAGACAAAAGCAGCTTTCAGCTCCGGAACAACGACCAACGTATGACGTTTGAAACAGTGGCGCTGTTCAATAATTAGTCTCAAGGTAAGTATACGGTCTATGCATCCCAGGAGTCTGGAGAGGAGAAAAACTGACTCCGAGACGGATTCGCTGGTGAGCATAGGCAACATGTCTAGGTGTTCATCAAACGAATATGGGGAGATTCGCGAAATACACTAAAATGAATAATTTGGTATTAACGGAAGACTAACTGAATCTCACGTTTACGATATTCTTCAACAGGATGTGCTGTACAAAGCCGCCTCATGTTTTAGTTAGTAGGCTATTTCGGGTATCAAAGATTTTTCAACAACCTCACGAGTAGTATTCCGTCGAGAAAGTATGAGGATGTGTGAAAAGTGAAGAATATATGTTGAGGTCCACCGGCTGAAATTCGACGTACAAACGTTGTCGCATGCACTAGAAATGGTTATTTGTACTGACGACTTAGTCCAGGCATGAAGAGACAGAGCGGCCAGTAACGCTGCTTACCATTGTTTTAAAACACAGCGAAATGAGGAATAACTGATTTTGCGGGGAAAAGCTGACCGCTTGGATATCATCTGAGTATTTGTCGTGTAAATACCGGACTAAAGTCGTTCGACGGGGGACTGGAAGGAAAACTATTCCCTCTATTAGAGAAACCAACTCCTAAAAGAAAACACCATTAGGAATCGAACGAGAGGAAATTGATTGTTCCCAACATCGTCCATTTACGATCAGAGGGAAACCTCAAACGACGGTAATATGTACGTCAAATAAGCATGGTTGCTACATGATATCCCGCGAAACTATTACTTGTTGACTGATTGGAGTGAGCTTGATCGACAGTTTACCATGAAAGCGATTTGGGAGCGACAAGGAGCAACGATGCTGATGGCAAAAAATAGTTGTTTAACGTATCGCACTCTAGAAAACAAAACTACAGTGGTAAATCACACCATAGTCATAACCATCAATTTATAAGCAACACAGAGGAAGAATTGATTCACAAGAGGAATGAAGCATCCCTCTAAAAATACATCACTCGAGGAGCCAGTCAATACGGGACCAGGTGAGGTGGTTTCCATGGTTGAAGGATGATTGGCGCTATGTCCTGCCTAAACGCGGCTGATCAGCTGCCGGTGGCCGAACAGTCGAGTCTACAAACTAATAGTTGGGAGGCCGCGAGTTCGAGATTCCCTTGAGTAATCAAAGTAGTGTGAAGAAAAAATGATCTTCCACGAAGAGCTGGATGTTTGGAACAAAAAATAGTTCATTTTGTTTAGGTGGCGATGGAAGAACAAAACTTGAATGGACTTCCGTGAAAGGTATCCCACCGAATTATTGTGCATAAAGCCATGGTTTGATATCTTTTCATTCAATAATGTCCTGGCATCTTTAATGCGATAGCAGAAGAAACTTTACATGGCGTTCGAAGGTTTTGGTTTCATACTGACACTTCCATCAGAGAAGTCCTCACTCGAGAAGTCGGTCAATACGTGACCATGTGAAGTGTCTTCTGCGATTCAAGGATGAGTACCGCTCAGTGAAAGCTAACGACGCTGCTGACCAGATGATCGTGACCGGACGGTTAAGTATACAAACGATTATAGGGGGAAGTTGTTGGTGCGAAACTCCATGGAGTTTCGTGAGACACGCATTGCTGGCGGTTCCTAACAAGGATGAAACAGCTTTTTCGTTCGGCTGTAACACCCTCCCGGTGCCCAGCTGCCATGCCACCCGGGGAAGCACGAGGGCTGAGATACTGCCAGGTTACCGAAGCCTAGACAGGTGAAGTCGAGAGGCAGATGTCGGGTTCCAACCACGGACCTTGCGATCAGTAAATTCGCCCTCTAACCACTTGAGCCATCTCGCTTTTTCAGCGTAGATTGGTTTCACTTACAGAAAAAAATCCCCATTGGAAATCCCCAAATCTCTTCAAACTGCCTACAATACAAAAAAATTGCGCGATGCATCTCGGCTTTTCAGCGTTGACTGAATTAATCGCTGCGGACCTGACGTTTCAGTAGTTGAGAAAGCACGGCTGAAATTTCTCTTGTGGAAAATAACTCACGGTATGGTCAACCAGACCTACCTTTGTGAGTTGGCCTTCGTCACGGACACAGAGGCTTCCTCTAGTTTCCTTTGACTTTCGTCATGCATATCCTGTGCCTCTTGTCTCGTCTTCACAAGTTCTCGTTCCATTTCCTGCACTCGATTTTCCAGGTGACCCAATTGTGTTTTGGCTCTCACCAGTTCAGTCTCGGACTGGAGCAGGCGCGATTGTAACTGGTCCAACTCATTTGCGCTAGACATCGCCAGTTGTTCCATTTGGTCGTTGCATTCTTGAGTTTTGTCTTCCACTCTTTTCGACAACTGACCTCGGAGGGTAGCGAGTCCCTTTTCCAGTCGAGCTGCATGTTCAAACAACTGAAAGTGGAATGCATTCGAAAGCTCACATCGTTGGCATATCATTCACTTGGTAAGTCTTGATTCAGTGCATGGAACCCCTTAGGATCCACAAAATTTCGTCAAATGCACGTAGGAACTGATACGGAAAGAGTCCTGCTAAAGCACAAGAGCGATGCCATTTGTGCTTATTTCTTCCAGAGTCAAGGTCATCCTGAAGCTAGCACGCGATACAACCTTGCTTATTCACAGTGGAACAAACACGCAATCATTCAGTACTTCTTGGGCACAAAGCTTCCGTGCAATCTGAAAGAAGTATAAGGGCTGGCATACTACCGAGTCTGGTAGAGAAGAGTACTCACAAAGTCAGTGTTGGGTTTGAAACACGGACATTACGGTTAATCATTACGGTCTTAATCGTTGAGTTGTCCCCCGGACACATGATGTAACACACCGCATGGCGTTTTCTCCCGAGAAACGTCCAGAAGGGATGATACTAGGGATGATTACCTGTCTTCTGTGGGGAGGGGACTAGGTCGTGTTTAGAGGGAGCAGTGCATTGCAATTGAATCACCAGTCATTCAGTGACTCATCATCAGTCATAAATGACTGAATTAAGCGGCATTTCTCTTAAGACTACCTCAACTGGATGACAGGAGTGATAGAGATGAAGTACACGTTTACCTTGAGCCAACAAGATGTACCTTGCAACGGGTCTTCTGAGCCCAAAAGGATTATATCAAATATGGAAACAGTACGCGGGGAAGAAGTTAAAGCAAATCAGGTGTTTTGTGGCAAAAAGAACATTGAACTCACGCGCTGTTTTTGTTCCTTGAAGATCCCCATGAGTTTGACCGAAGAACTGACCTGATCGACCAGCTCGCGATTGTGGTTCAGGAGTAATGTGGACCGCTGTCGCAGCTGAGCAACCAGTGCCAGCAAGTCATCTCTTTCTCTGTCGGAACACGACAAAGCTGAGTAAACGACATCGCCACCAAACCCTCGAAAATAGGTTATGAAATGATAGGGGAAGTTGACGCAGCAGTCATCTGCCAGCTCACTCTAGCTGCAAGTCTGTTTTCAAAAAAGAACAGCATTTAACAGCAGCTCTGATCAGATTAACAGTAGTACGGAGCATATCAACTAAGCACAAGGAAAGCATGTCATTGTTGTATATTTGGTCTGTTTTTTTTTTCAAACGTTTCACCGTTTATTGCTAAAACAATCTCTTTCGTTTCAGCTCCCAGTGTCAAAGTTTTGGATGAATAAAGCCTAGCTTCCGGGCTCTCGGTCTTTTCCATTCTTATCCTGATTGTCGCCGCACTCCATCCCTCGTCGAACACAACAGTCAAACGTCAGTATAATTCTTTCTGGTATCCCAAACTTACGTTGCGTGTTACGTAAGGCCATGGAGCTCGGGATAGCTTAGTCGTTCAAGCGTAAACTGACGAAGAGCTGTTCGAACCCAACTTGTGCATCTCGACTGCTCCATTCTAGGCTTGGGCAGTATCTCAGCCCTCGTGCTTCGTTCAGATAGCATGACAGCTAGGCACCGAAACGATTGTACGGCTAAACGACTAAGGCCGGAATACCTAAAGTATCTCACCAATGCTGAACAGTCATCGCAAAAAGTCCTGTCTGTCTACGCTGGAACGCAGAGCAGTGCACCATAACTCCCATCTTTTCCGCGTACGAAACACGTACTCCGTGACTGAATTTCATCACAGCTAGATACGGGATACCCTAAAATCGCTTTGGGCTCGGGTGTGCCTTTCCAGAGTTGTTCGGTTTCCGCCGTAAACGTATATCAGGCCAGCAGCAGTCTGCAGGTATCCGATTCCAGTCGCTAGCGTGCTAGTCTGTGAAAGCGTTCAGCAGTGATCTGATGGTGTGGCTGGTCTTTCCCACTTGGTACTTTCCTTGAAAATGTTATGGCGTGGTGTATTTCAACAAGCCGGTGCAGTACATGCAACCTGGGAGTGAAAATTTGCCCCAAAATCAGAGTGTAATTATCTAGATGCGGGATACTCACTGATCGAGTCAGCCATTGTCAAGGCATCTATGTATTGTAAGAAAATCGCCTCACCATTTCGTGAGGTGGACAAAAGACAGGTTTCTCACTGGGGTTTCTGGATGCGACAAATGAAGTTCATACCTACGACCTGTTTGAGTAGCAGGAGTTGGTGGACTGTAGGAGGGCTTCGTTCATCCATGTACATGATTAGCCGTCATTCCTTGAAGCGTCTCCAAAGGGGCGCATGGGGACCGTCACGGTCCTGGAAGACGGGCCGCACCAACAACATCCAAACTCTTCCTAACCTTTTCCATACCCATCTGCCAAGGCACACGCTGTCCACCTTGCAATTTGCGCCATTATGAAGAAGGCACAGAAAACAACCCTCGCCTCAGGAAAAATGCCTCGGTATGCGCAGCATACGGCCGAGCAAACGCAGCTGATGACGCTGGGTGTGTTCCACGATTCAGGTGCCTAGTGTACAACCGAATATCCACTTTCTAATTACCTCGTTACAAATCCGTTGACGCTATCCGATAATTGCGACGCTTCTGAGAAATCGATGGTCAAAAACCTGACGACACCTCACAGAGGTCAAATCTCGCAACCAAAGAAAAACACACCTCTTACTGTAGCCTGCTACGTGCGATACCTGAGATCCAGTGATGCGTTTCGTCTTGACTTCACAGGTGACGCAAATTAGCAATCGTTACTTGAGTGCTGAATTTATCAGATACACAACCACCAGAATAGTACAACCGAGGTATGTAAAATTCTCCGCAACTTCCGGTGCTTCATCTTGAATTGTAAGGGGGTACGTTCAGAAGCATGGCTTTGCACTTTGAAGGCGCTGAAGGCCGGAAGGTGATTGTATCGTGGTCAGTTTACTCAACAACTCATGCTTGCTGTGTCATTAAAACCTAGGATGATGTCGCCCTTCAAATCGGCAAGGTTCTCATCAGCAAAACACCGAACGCCGGGGTTTTCGAGCATTCGCCTCACCATTTCATTAATGACAAAGATGAAAAAGAATGTAAAGAGTGGAAATCCTTGTCGGACACTACGTTTCGGAAGGAAATTTTTAGAGAGCTCTTCACACACTCTCACAAGCCCAAACGTACGTGAATATAGGGACCAGATTATGTTCACCGACGTCTGGGGCATACTCTGTTGCGCAAGCATGTTGAAAAAAATAACCGACTAACAGAATCGAACGAACACCTGAAAACAAGGGACACAAACATGCCGTCGCTCCAACATCTGACGGAGTGTGAAGATGCGATCAGCACGGCTCCTTCCCTGCTCGAATCTTGTACGCTGTTCTGGTGACACACCACCAAAACTTTTTCAAAGACCTTGGGGGTTGTGGGAAGGGCGTTTGCCAGAGCTGATTGTTACGTACTTCTTACTTGAATTATTTGTAGGCAATTTCTTCAAATTCCCGTTTTGATTAAGCCGTCAAATAGCTATCAAAAGTCTGCAACTAACTCTACCCTATGGATCACATCCGTGCGGCGATGCAGTCCCGGGTAGTCAGTCGTCGCCGAAGCCTTCACCGACGGTTCCGCCGATCATCCGCAACTCGACAACTAGGCTAAACCAGCTATCAAACAAGACAGGATATCTTGTCGCTTGCGAAGGGTACTCTTGGCAGTTCGACCCTTCCCAACGCAAATTTTGACGGGACTGGAACCGGTAGCTTGCAATCTGTGGAATGCATGAGAATCCCGCCTGGATTATTTGGAGGTTCGCTTGTTAAAGACATCCCCACCTGATGAGTCCCAGAAAGCGCGAAAACGTTCGGGTACTGTAAAAGAGTTTTCAGCAACCTTGTGAGTAGTCTCACTTATGAAAAGGGTTGGAGGATATTGTCGTTTTGGCGGTGATTCAGCAAAGCCACAGTGCCACTGTCATCTAGAATGCTCATCTGGTGAGCAAAACTTCACAAATATATCCATCCGCGACCGGTGATCGAGGCGGTGGAATTGGCCAAGCATCACAGGGCGAATAAAACAGCGGGCGTTGAACTGGCAAGCGTGTGGAGAGCGGTTTTAGATCAGCCGAGAAGACACGAGACGAGGCGCAGTTATCAGCAAAATTAGCTGGATTTAAAAGTACAAAATCCAAGCAGAGTAAGATCCAATTAACCACACACACCAAACCCCATTTCCATTGTCCCGGCACTCACTCGACGCACACAGGCGAACGAAATCTGTGAACGACCTCTGATAGTCCACTAAAGTGTCCTAGACTGGAAAAGCTAAGCCGCGAAATCCGGTTTCAACATGCAGACAATTCCCCCTAACCAGTCTACGGTAAATGTTAGTCATCCACACTAACCAACAAACAGGAACTTCGGACTGACATGCAGCAATGATCAAGTCGGCTAGGCATAGGAAATCTCACGAACTGGTTCCCAGGCTGCGTTAAAATCCGATCAAACTGGTTACTTAAGCATTTGGCTTGACAGAGCTTTTGTGTCAAAAGCGAAACGTTGCCCAACAATAAATCCGCCGATTACTTACCAAACCTCTTTGAAACGATGACTACCCAATCGGTCCCAAACATTTTCCAATTGATTGGTACTGGGCTTCTCTGGAAGCTCGCATGCCAAGGTAAGTTCTGTTTCTGAAAGGCGAGTGATTAGTTCCTGTTTCCTAACCTGGCGTTAATGAGCATCCATAAACCGGAAGTGAATGTGTTTGTTCATCCAAACATTAAATAATGGGCGACAGGTGAACAACACTATCGCACGGAGATTGCGTCTAATAGCCGGGTATTTTAGACGCTATTGGTGCGCGCCTCAGTGATCATACTAAGCCACTTAGATAATTCTAACCCCTTTTCCGAACATACAGTTCAAGTCCTGCCTCAACGGGTGAAATGGAAATTTTAAACAGCGAACAAAACGGAGCTCAACGTGTGAATTAGACTCACCTCTTCAAAACGGCTAAATAATTATCTGTGAGGATATTTTCGGTGCCAACTTCATGCGCCCCACCTGCGGTCGCATTCTTAAGTAGGGCCCGGAGGCGTGCGACTTCGTTGGTCGTTTGTCGAAGTTTTTCCCTGACAATTTAGAATCAAAGGCACTTTCAGTGGTTCATTATTTGACACTATTTTGTTTAAGACAATAATAAAAAATAATAATCGTTCAGCCGTAACATCCTTTCGGTGTCTAGCTGCCATACCATCCAAGGTAAGCACGAGGGCTGCCAGGTCGCCCAAGCCTCGAAAGGGAAAGTTGGGAGGCAGAGGTTGGGTTCGTACCACGGACATTCCGGTCAGCAAATTCGCGCACTAACCACCGAGCCATCTCGCCCCCACTATTTCGTTAAGCTCAACCTGAAAGAACTCAGTTACTTCGCAGACATGTGGAAGCAGATGTTTCGTGTGTAAAAACCAGAACTACTTACGAGGTTCGTGAAAAACACTCCACGTCCGAAGGCTATTTCGTCCACCTTGGGGTTCATAAGATAACCACAGTTCCGAGGTTCCATCAGCCTGAATTCCTAAATTAACACTAATTATTTAGGAACTTATTCGTTTGAAATCAACCCTGATTGAAAGCCTGTTGAGAAAGCTCGAGGTAACTGAGCGGTTAGGATACGGAATTACTGCACGAAATGTCCGTGATCCGAAAAGTGTCTCCTGTCTAAACGTGGGCAACACGATAGTATCCTAGCCCCCATGCTTCCCTCGGGCGGCATGCCAGCAAGGCGGTGAAAGGGTACTCAGGCTGGACAATTGTTAAATTGTATTTGGAATCCTATCGGATGAGGAGAAGTAAGTGATGAAATGACCCTGCAAAAATATGGTATTCTAACTCCGAGGATATTTTTACATTCATGTATACCTTTCGCAGTGACTCTAATCGATCACAATATGTTCAATATATTCTGCATGGTGAGATCAGTTCTAAATAGTCGTTCAACGACTCAGTGGTTACGGGGCAAGGTTACTGGCCGCAAGTTCCGTGGTTCGAACCCGACCTCTGCATCTCGACTTCCCTTGTCTAGGCTTGGGCAACCTGGCAGTATCCCAGTCCTCGTGATTCCTTCCGGTGGCATGACAGTTAGGCACCGAAAGAGCGCTACAGCTGTACCATTTTATAATCATCCAGCTGTAGCACTCTTTCGGTGGCTAGTTGTCATGCTTATCGAAGGGGGCATGAGGGTTGGGATGCTGCCAGGTTGCCCAAACCTAGACAGAAGTCGAGATGAGGAGGTAGGGTTCGAACAACGGTCAGTGAATTAACGCTCTAAACACTGAGATACCTGGCCCCAAGAATGTAGCAGAACCGTACAACTACAGCTAAACTACTGCCTCTGAGATTTGAGCTCATGGAAAGGTTCACGAGTGAGTTACCAAAGCATTTTTTACAATGGTCTCATTCTCTATACGATGTCACTTAAACGGAGGCCTGTGTTTCCGGCCGTTCAGTGAGTAGAATTAGTTAACCAGTGTTCAACTAGCAGTACGAAAAGACTATTGAAGATGCCTAATTTTCGAAACAACTGAAACTAACTCTACAACGCAGACGAACTGACACCTTTCTGGGGGTCCAATAACATCGCAGTGAAGTATGCTCCAATATGGAACAATACGCGTCATTCCATGTACAGCAGACGTACCTATAGTGGTTTACTTCAGTTTCCAACCTTGAAATTCGTGCACGGTACATTGAGATAGTCTGATCCTCGGACTGAAAAATACGAGAATTTTTCAAAATGAGGAAACCAGGGGGGTAAGGGTAGGTCAGAAACAGGCCACAAGTTTGACTACCAACTGTTGGAAAGTAGTCACGAATAGATGCAAATATGATAGCGGCGACATGCAAAAAGCGAGGGTACGGAGGCGATCGCTGGATAGCTTGACTCATTCTGTCCATACCCAACGACATGTCATGATGCAGAAATCAACTGACTGAACAGAACCGGCTACATCACCAACATCTACCAGAAGATGTGATCCTTACATTGTCTAGTGAAGAATCTGGCTGTCTTCTGCAACATTCTTACTTAATATGCAAACTATGCAATTTTTCAGTCGAACAGGGAAAATGATACCAGAATGTGTGCAGCCCCCTGAATTGACCACTAACCGAAAGTTTCACATGAGGTACATCGATGGTAGACGACTTACGCATAGCCTTTACGCCACGAAATGCGAACGACATGGTACCGCGGAGATGTAATATGGACGACTGTATAACCCTGTTATGATGGCGCGAGAAGAGCTTTGCATGCTCACGTGAAATTTACAGAGAAAGCCCACTGTCCTCTGCATTTAAGAAACATAAACGTACCAGTGTACACATACGTGCGTAACAGACCGCTGCCTGCTAAGCTACACGACAATCGGCGATGGTCTAAAAGGTACACTGGCTAGGATTGCTGTCATCCAGAGGCATTCCATCAGGAGGAGCTACGCGGTATCCACCAAACTCAAGTGATGACGATCATGAATGATTAGCAGTTTGGTGCAACGAAATGGTGATGAATGGAACATAGTACAAAAAATATGACAAGGGATGTCCTCAGCTGCCAACTGGTCATAATTGGCCAGCTAACCCTTGTATGTATTCTCACGCCTGGCTGACCCCGCGCCACGCTTCAAAGCCTCTTCTGTTCAGTTGAAGCCAATGTCTGTTCCTTAGGCCACCATCGAATACTATACCACGTCTGCCTGGTTAATTCGATTTTACTTCTCAAAGGAGACTATTAACTCATCAGCAAACGGAGAACTGGTATCTAGCGTAACAGCACCGCCATCAAAATGAATAAATCAGCAAAGTTCTCAGTTAGTGACACTTGTTCTATGTGACGACCTATCATTCCGTGTTAAAATGTGAAAGACACGGATTGAGCACTGCGCAGTGGAAAATTGCGATTCGCATGCTTAAGCTACCAATTGTTATCATTATCAGAACTAAATAGTCACATTGTCAACAAAGTACCAACCACTACCGTTTTCATCACTGTCATAACAAAGGAGAGCTCCCACTAATCACGACGAACACTGTCCACATATTTCACCAAACGTAACAAAAGCAAAATACAAAACCTACTCACCGTCAAGTGTTCTCTACCCTCTAATACATTCTCCACATTCAATTTGAGGTTGGTCTTCTGGTTGACGTCATTTAATCGTGTGGGTGTTCGAGCTGGACGTAGTTTTTGGATGACACACTGGCCCACTTCTCTGCTGGGACCTGTTGGCATTTTCTGACTGGACTGGCAACCGTTGGCCGTGGCAAAAGACAAGCATTTGCTCCTACTATATGTTTCAGTTCCTTGCTGGTCGGGATGTTCATGAGGCTCGCTGCTCATGACCAGCCTAGATTGAAGAAGAAGGATATGCAGTGAGTTGGCCATTTGAAGAGAAAAATACTTTTCTCGCGTTAAATTCAGTGAGAAGAAAGCTCAGCACTGGTCAAGCAGCTTCGAACAACGCATTCATGTACGCACATGTAAGAAGAGTCTGAATTAGCAGCGGCTCTCTTGACGAAGCTTGTGGTTGGAACGCTGGCTTACCGAGTGCGACTATGCTCGGACAACCCTTCCACAGCGGCTACACGAAGAGAGTACAATGATAGTACAATGAAAGTACAACGATAGAAAAGCTACTAGGTTGCCTGATAACAGTCCACTTTTCCTGTATTAGTAAATGAACTTCACTTGCGTCAGAACTGCAGTTGTTCACACTAATTGAGCTTCAGCAGCAGCACCAGAAGCTGCAAAGACCGTATACTTATCGTAAAGTGGTTACAGCTGCCACCAACCCGATTAGGTAGAGCTTTAGGTCGGGGCCTTCTAGATTCGGATGGAAATATCATCTTTCGCTAAACCAACGGGAGTGGTACAACTGCCCAGGTAGACAAAACTTGTCTAATATTTCAATCGGCTTATCCACAAGCATAAGGTTAAGTTTCGAGCCCACCCAGCCTTGCAGTAGCACTCTACACTCTGTGTGAAGCGCATGCCAAACCGTGAGGCAGAATTATTTAGACTGCTTAATATTGTTTGCATTATCAAGAAGAGCTATGTTTTCCGCGTACTCGATATTAGTGACGCTCCAGGAGCACTTTGAACCCAAAGTCATTAAAAGCTGATGGTGAATCTTCCGTAATTGTATCAATGACGAAGCTGAAGAAGAAAGGTGAAAGAGAACAGCCCTGCCTAACACCAATTGATGTGGTGAGTGCTTCCCTTATACATTCACACGTCCGCGGGTGTTGGCGTACAGTGCCTTACGAGGGGTCAGGAGTTAATGGGGGACAACTTTACTCCATAGACACTACCTAGTGTCTGACAGTCCACAGACCTGAGAGCACCTTCGACGTCACAGCTACTGGACTGATGCCACCGTGGTTTCTGAAGTGTTCGCGACCCATTTTTGAAGAAGGAAATAATTTTCGACATGTCCCATTCTCGTCACTTTCTCTTCACTCCATGTTGCAATAAGCTTCGTTAGATTGGTCACCGAGGTTCTTCTATTTCTTTGAACAGGGCTGGATACAGATCGTCTGATTTCTGTATTTTCGTGCTTTATTGGTGATATTTCGTATTTTATTTCCTTTTTTGACTGGCGATTGAGTCTTACATTCCATTCTCCTGTATGCACTATCTTCAGAGGAAGAAGCCAGTTAAACTGTTCTTCAGTGTTTGGTCCATAATTCCCATCAACGGTTTTGCGAGTGAACTAATGAGCCAACTTTTTCACTTATTCTTTCACTGACCACTGCTGTCCTAGGGCCAGTTGATCTTATCTTGTTTCCGGAAGCAAACCCTACACATCTCGAGCTTTTGATGTCCATCAGAGCTCTCGGTATTTCCTTAGGCTTTTCACTATTTGGCGCTTGAGGGATTTGCGTGCACCGTCATGGTAGTGCATGTACGGATTTACTGGCATCAATCAAGACTAGCGATTTCGACGATATCCAGCGGTCAGTTGATTGCATTGGAGAGGTTGAACAGACAGCACTAAATGCTACTAGCATAGTTTCTTCCATATTTTATCGGGCTTCGTGCATGTGCTCGCTACCAGTATAGCATTGGTTTACCGTGGAGGGTTGTTGGGCTATCTCAGATCGATACTACTGAGCTACGGTAGTTTAGACACGGAAAAGTGGCTAGGGAGTTGGCAGATGAGTTGCTGGCACTGTATCGTAAGATGGGTGAGGAGGGGGCATAGAAGGCCGATAAGCGAAAAACACTGAGGCATCAGCTTAGTATCTATCAAGTTAAGGCGTTCCGTGGTGTTAGTTTTTGCAGGTTAACCGATTATCGGGAGAAATAGATTCATGAAAATCAAGCTGGGCTTCGCCCTCGCTGAGGACGCATCAACCGTATCTTTGCCTTGAGACAAATTCTTGAACATTGCCACTGCTCCAAACGGCTCCAAAACCCCGTCGACCTGTAATATGCAGACAACATCGTTCTCGCCTCGAAGAGGAGAAGAGGGTGCAGGTGTTTTTGGATGAACTGCTAAAACCGTACGGTCGTGCTCGTGGACATACATTCATACAAGCTTGGGCAATCTGGTAGTATCCCAGCACTTGTAGCACAGCAGCTAGGCACCGGAAGGGTGTTACAGCTGAACAATGATTTTTTTTAATGTAGCGTGACAGATGACTTCAATACACTAACCTGCAAGGCCTGGGTCACGTTTGTTAATTTGAGACACCTATGGCGTCAGAGCAGTGTATCTCTGAATCTCAAGGGACGTGTGTATCAAGCCACAGTGCGGCTGTTTTGTTGTATGGCTGTGAAACTTGACCTATTCGAGCAGCGGAACTGAGACAAGTGTTTGACAATCGTTGTCTGAGAAATATAGCTCGTGTGGGTTAGTGTCGGCGTATTTGTAACGAGGCAATTATAAAGCGAGTTTTCGCTGGTGCAACGGGTGTATCCATTGAAGAATGTGTCCAGCACCGAAAGCTGCGTTGGTGGAGACATGCGCTGCATACGCCTAGCCATCGTTTGCCGAAGAGAGTGCTGTTTTCCATGCCCAACTCAATAGCGTAAGCAGAGGTAGCCAACCCTTGACTTGGCACACGGGTATGAAGGAGAGTACGAAAAGCTTGGGTGCTGTTGGTGGGACTCGCCTTCCAGGATGGGGACCACGTGATCACCACTTCGACTGGTTAAAGACACTACAAGATATGGCTGGAAACCGACGTCAGTGGAGTTCTTATTGTGGAACAAAACAAAGCACGAGATAGTGGATGCGGGAGCAAGTATCAGGTTAGGTAAACGCTACACTTTTTACATTCTGGTTCAGTTGAATTCCATATCACGGAGCGACCAACTTGTTTGCAGTGTAACTTCATTCTTCTTCTCCATTCCAGTTATAACACTGGCGATGGGAGCCCAAGGCAAACACAAACACGTCAATTTCAGCTGAGTATTTGAAAGCAATCTATCAACAGCACCAGACGCAGTTCGAACAGTCGCAATTGAAACGTATTCGGTCTCTTACTGAAGTTATCAGTCTTCAGACATCGATGTCTGAAATAGAACTGATCAGTTCTATTTCGACTGACACTTCACTATCCTTTGCCCATTCTGTTGCAGCAACTGATACCGAATCCCTCTACGTACCAGCATCTGGTCTCACGTTAGATTCATGATACAGCCGCTGGGAAGATACTTTCCAAAATGACTTGCTGAATGCTCGTGAAACTCTGCATCGGTGCTTGTCTGCCTGCTCCTCCCACTATGGTATATTAAAAGGCACGGTAACTTTAAACAGTCCTTTCTGGAGACAAGGGGAAATAATTACAACCGTATTTATAGGGTAATCACAGAGCGTTCCAAAACGTCGTGCTACAACCGTGTGGCGGGTGGACGGGATGTGTCTAGCTAAAGATGCTCGAACCCGATTGGCCGGCATTCTGACCAATCAGGGTCCGCCTTCGTTTGGTCCGTGCCATGCACGTGACACTGTCCAAATGATGTGATGTTCGGTTATTATGGACAACTGGCCTCCGGACACATCCTCCTTAAAAAGTCTGTTCAACCGACCGCTGCTCTGAACTCAGCGGTGATGACTCATGGAGGTACTACCGCATGTCGGTTCGTCCCTGGGGCTGTGAGCGTGTCTGTCTGCGGTTTGGTATCCTCCGATTCAGAGGTATATCACGGCCGTCCGGTGTCACATATGATGCAATTTCATTACGCAGCCGCAGTCTGTTGTCTGAAGTAGGTTCCCCTGACGGGACCATGCTTATCCTCCTGTTTGTGCCTCGCGTTTGACATATTTGACACTGTGTCCACCGTGGTGAGTATTCCCCATATCCTCCTACGAATGTCTGGCCTCTCTGTGACCGTTGTGGCGTCTCTTCTGCCGCCTCCCTTTCTTGACTTTCCGGATAGTAGTAGAACGGTCTGCATGAACCTGCGACTTGAAATGAGGGGTTCGGTTATTGGGTGAAATGTTGCAGACTGCTTGCAGGATTCAAAAACGGACTGCAGTAAGAGGGCCACTGGTGCCGGACGCCATGAGTAAATAGCCTCTGCGTGGCGTATGCTCCCTCTGGTCTCCAGTTTGGTTTTAACTGTGTTGACCACAAAATCGTCAGGACGTGATGTTCCCGTGAGCGCATTGCGGCCATCTGCAGCTGCTTTATTACAAACGGCATTTAAGGTTTGGTCCAATAGTTGAAGCTCATTAATCCAATCGAAGTACAAGAGATCAAGGTCCGGATAGTTTGTGAATTAAGTGTGTGAATTGAGCTAAATCCTCTTGAACTTTACGGAACAGTTCAGCTTCCCGATTTGAGGCTTCCATCAGATGCATCACGGAAGTGTACTTAGTGTATCAATTGGTGGTCATTCAATAACCTCCCGAGTTTGTTTCGAAATCAGAGTGAAGTAAGAATCTGTATCAAGCTAGAGGGTAACCGATGTGCCGTTGATGCATAGCGTGACAAATTTACGTCGACCGGGTGATTTCATCCTGAATGCAGTGGTCATGGGTCCAGTGTGCGTTCTTTTGTCCGGTCGGTGTTTGCGCGGGCTCCTGAATTTGTACCCATAGCGTCTTTCTTGGTGACCCTTTCGACTGCAATTGCTGCACCTGTGCATTCGATAAGGGCGGTGGCGTGAATCGTGCCATTTTTCACAAAACGAACCAGGGTGTGGGGCGGTTTTCTTGGAGTTCGTTCGGGATTTGATCACCTTTTGGCAGCTACTTTGAATACCATATCGAGCCGAGAAAATTTGGAATGTCCAATCATCGCAGCATCAGCCTTGAGACTGATAAGATATTGCCATTCTGTTGTAAGTTTCTGAAGCGTCAACTCTTGAACCCTTTCAATTCGACTCAGTAACCGGTTCGGAATAACTGCATCATTCGGCGACTGAAATCCATT